GCCAAAAATTTCATCTTAATTTTGATTTGTGTAAAATGTAAGTTTTTCTGAATATTTTCTTAAAACTTGTTGGTCATTTGAAATTGATTATGTTTTGAAAATTATTAAGTATGTTTAATACTAAGCCAATTGTTATAAAAGCTAATTAAAAGTTTGGATTAAGACCATGTTGTTATTAGTTTTAAATATTACGTAAGTAATATGAGCGCACATACATCAGCTAGTTCATTTTAAATATCTCCCTTGGTTTTTCACCCTAATATTTAAGCCTATTTTCTATGAAAAGGTATTTTTTCAAAACACCGATGCATCGCCAATGCATTTGTTTATCAACATCGATTAGTTTGCAGCTATATCAACAATCGATTGTTCCCTTTATAAATAAGAGCATTTTCTTTACACCAGGTACATACTCTTTACATATGTACTTACATGTACTATATAATAAGAATAATAAGACGAATCGATATACAAACACGCCTTATTATTGGTATTAATAAGAAACTACAACAACGCTATCACAGAGATATCAAAAATTGATGTTGTGAAAATAGCAAAGTTAATTAGCTTCACCGGGTGGTTGAACCTATACTACTATAAAACTAAGGGGATTATATTGTTATATGGGTTTCTAAGGCTAGGCCCAGTGATCTCAACGTAATACCTTACTTCGTAGAGTTCCAACACTTATCAAAAGGTAGTCACCGCAAACGTAAAAATAAAGTTCGTCAAAACGACAAATGGTCTCTAATTTTGATACCTCGGTTCCAAAGAAGTAGAAGTACGTATCTAACGTGCAGAAGTATTAACGTGATAAAAGAAATTATTACGGCCTATTTCAGTCGCTTGTATAAATCCAAGTAAGGGCAGAGTCGAAAACCTAAGAAATATGTTCCACAGTTTATGGTATGTTCCCAAATTTATAAGCTGCAATATTTTACAGCACATTTAAAAGAAACCCTTTCTTTTATTTTATGCTGCTACGTTCCAAAAGGAAGCATGCAAGTTATAACTTAAATATTGATATTAAGATGCAATGAAGCATTCGTAGTATCCGCTTTTGATTCTCTAAGTATAGGGTGTTAAAAATTAACTACGAAAGTTGTCGTTGACATCGTGGCGAATGGGTGATGTAGAGAAATTTTCGTAAATCCATTCTCCTGCTTTGAATTATGCTCAGAAGAACCGCGAAAAGTTTAATTATTAAATAAATAACTTAAATTATGCGCATTTCATTCTGTTAATGAAAAAGTGCATACGCCAAAAATTTAATTCGCATGTAAAGTTTGTGTATTTGTTGGTATGTGCTCGTACGATTGTGCATACTTGTATGTGTATACACATATAGTATATATATGAGCACGATTCGGGCAATGTCGAAATATGTGCAGCATATTTCAACTTTGGTTTTTTAAATTCTGCATTGCGGTTTTTGGCATGTGACAAAAGCATATGCATTTTTGTATTGTATACTATAAGTACTTGTATGTATGTACATATGATGGCGATTGCGCTCCACACGGTTTACGAGTGGAATATTTGGCTTAACCCGTTTATTTTGCTGCTTTTTAGTTGTTTTGTAAATATTTATCGATTGGCTATGTATCACACGTTAATTAAGTGCGCCAGTATTTGCAGCGGTTTATTTGCATGTTCGCCTCCCAACACCACCTCCGAACTCATAACGTCATTGGTATGACTGCCCCAAAACGTTCCCGTCTCGAATTTAATCTGCCGCTAACGACGTCGATGGTGATGATGATGATGATATTGATGATGTCATTACCTCGTTGGCTGGCAAACTTCGCAACAGACTTAGCGCCTAGAGTCAAAGTCAATAGACACAACTGCCGAAGTTATGAAGCTGCCCTGACAAATTTCTGAATAAAAAACAAACCGACAACAAGAAACTGAAGCCACGACAAAACAAGATTTGAAACAAACTTGGCCAGTGGAGTGGAGAGGAGAGACAGAAATGAGGTTTTCTACTGTTCGAAGTTGGCCAAGAGATTTTCGGCCATTGATAGGCACATTCAGTACGCATTACGCATGCAGACAGGCATAAAGACATACAATGTGATAAGTAGGAGAGGGCAGTATGGCGTGAATATTTATTGGCAGGCGCATTTGCGATTGTGTTTGATTTGGGAGTGGGCAGCTGAATGTAAAGTTTTGTGTAAGTAGTCCTTTTCCGATAAGTCTGAGCTGGCCGGAGGCTACAAATAGTTCTATTACGTGTTAGGCAAATAGGGGAAATGCCGAAGGAAAAAATTGAAGGGTGTTTTTAAGTAGAAATACACTTGATAAAGCAATTACATTTTTAAACACGCATGCATTGCATTGCTACGATCGCTCTTCTAAGCAATCCAAATTTAATTACAAACCCATTTGCAAATACTTTCCATAACTCCCGTAAATCTTAGAATTTCGAATTCAATTTGGTAATCACATTTGGTTAGTGATTATGTGCCCGTAATGGGTCAATTACGAAGAAAGCTATAGCCATAAATGTAACATCTGCCTATGCTGCCTTGACTTAATTCTGTACTGCTCACATACTACACGCAGTTAAATAGTGAATAGGCTCGATTCTGATAGGAATATATGATGTAACAACTGTACAAAAACATACTATAAGTCACCAGTTTTGTATGTATGTTATGAATATTTTTGTTTAATTAATTAATTTTGTTTTAAATTTTTTATTTTTATTATTTTCGATATGCTGTGTTTTTTTTTTTGTTTGTGGGCACGGCAGGGCATTTATAAGAGGTGGGCCCGCTAGCATTCCTTCCTTCCTTCTTCGGGTACAGGGTATACAAATTGATCTACTTGTACTTAATTAATTAAAACTTGCTGAGGAATATAAACATTGTTGTTAACTATGAGGCCAACAACAATAGCTACATTGAGCACTTGAACGTACAAAAAGGTGTGAAAAAAATGATATTGTTAGAAACAAACTTTTAAGCGTTTTTTTTTAAAGAATGTTTCCCTTTTTCACTCATTTAAAAATTGTCGGCAATTATATTTAATTAGAGTAAGTGTGAGCCCGCATTGCACAGCCAATAGCTACATACACTGGTTATTAACAATTTAAGCAAAGCAAAAAACATAAATGATTGTGCTTGCTTCTCGCAGCGCACAAAACTCGACATAATTATAAATAAATTGATGACGTAACGTGCATATTGGGAGCAAACAAGACAGTGCGGCATGCGGCAAGTTTTCGAGGTCAATGCTTTGGCGGCTTGCTTACAGCGATGACGTCACAAGGTAACCGACGTGCTGTACACTCAACGCTAAGCAATGTGTACATACATATGCATATGTACATATGTATTGAAATATTTCCCAACAATTACAATAGGCAAAAAGTGAGTGAGAAAACTGTCTGCTTCAAGAGCGCGGAAATAAGTGTGGGAGTGCTTTTGCAAAGAAGAAATTCTGTTTTCTACGAAAAATGTTGCAAAAACGTCCGCATAGACTGTAAAGAGCAAGACAGAGAGAGAGAGAGAGCAATAGAGCGGGTTAAAGCAAGAGAGTTTAAAATGCCGCTGTATTGTATGCTTTCTTTAAATGTTGAACATTGAAGTTTTCTTCAACACTCTCTCTAATCATTTATCTTTGGTAGCTCTTCTTCTTATTAATTTTTATTGGCATTCCGACTTAAACGACAAGACCTCGCTGCTGTCAATAAGTATTTCAATTATGACAAGTTTTTATTGCGCTTAAGCAGTTTGGAATTGGTGGGAGTCGGGAGAATTTGTTGTTCTTGTTGCATTGCGTATTTCATATTTTTGAGTCATGGGTGGGCGCAATGGATCTGCATGCATGGAACATGCGTAATGAATGTTTATGTTTATCTGAATTGTTATTGTAGCTCATCAACACATACGAGTATAGAGAGTTTGTGCGCTGGATGTGGTATATAAGCAGTTTTTTGGTGCATTTCAGTATGTATTTCGATATTCAGTTTAGAAACAAATTAAGGGAAACCGGTTAAAAAACAGTGTGCATCCAGCTTGACATAAAGAAAATTTATCGGTGCTAAGTGTTCGGAGTAGAATAATTAATTTCAGTGTAGAATAAATATAAATGCCTTTTAGCTTGCGACTAATATGTTATCAGTGTGCTTGAACTCTCTCTCTCTCTTCAAGATCAACCCGTTCTTGCTTTCACTTGCAGATAGAGCTTTCTAATGCTTGGCCATGTTCTCGTACTTTATTTCTAGACGGGTTCCAATATAGTGATGTTAAATTAATTGACTACGACAATATTTTCGTGTTTAGTGTAAAGATTCATTCTCAAAGAAATTACTAATTTGCAATCAAGAATAACAAATCTATCCATTTTTGTACATATGTATGTATGTAGGTATATAATGGAGAAAATATTGCTTTTCTTATTTATTTTACGATGTATTAAGTGAGCAGTATGCTTTACATAATCTCCAAAAACGTTTATTCTAAATTTGATTAAAATGTAAATGAAGTTGTATTGCTGTTGCTTTTTAGCTGCGATTGTAGCTTCGTTTTGCATGAGAGTTTGTATGCGTGCCGGCATCGATTGCTTGCCCGCTGTTTGGCGTTTTCTATTTTAGATGGCAAAGCAGCTGTACATAAAAACCCATGCTAATAGCAATAATAACAACAAAAGCAAGCAACAAAAGCAAAAGAAAGTGGCGCAACAACAACAAAACAGCATGCTTGGCAGCCAAACAAACAGAGGTGTCCAGATATACATATGTATGTACATTGTATATATTCAGACATATACATACATAAACATACATACATACATACATACGTGCACGAGACGGCATGCCTTGAGTATTTGAAACGTGTGTGTGTGAGTGAGTGTGAGAGAGCGGGAGCGCTACACAGTTTTTTTATGGCGTTTGGCTTTTGCGGGCCTCAACTAATTTTGTCGATGATGACGATGATTTCATGCGAGCACCAAACGAGCCACAACTTTCAGTTATATTCCAAGCGTCAAAGCAAACGGACGTGCACCGCGCTGCACAACAGAACACCAGTGCACATAAGAGAAACATATATAGAAACAAATAGAAAACAATCCAAATATACGCACACATTCATACATAACAGTGCAAAGGCGCACCGTGTACTTAATATTTCCACATTTGATTCTTCATTGAAAGTCGCAGTCGAAAAACGTCAAAAATGTCCGCACGCCGCGTCACAGTCGGTACACGCGTCTCGCGCGCCAGTAATTCCACGCCCGTGGGCGGCGCATCGACGTCCTCGCGTATAGGGGCCACCAGCCCCACCAGTCCGGCGCGTACCACCCGCCTACAGGAGAAAGAGGAGCTGCAGCACCTGAACGATCGCCTCGCTTGTTACATCGATCGCATGCGCAACCTGGAGAACGAGAACAGCCGGTTGACTCAGGAATTGCATCTAGCACAGGACACTGTGAACCGTGAAACGTCCAATTTGAAGGCGGTCTATGAGAAGGAGTTGGCCGCCGCCCGTAAGCTGCTCGACGAGACGGCCAAGGAGAAGGCCAAGCTGGAGATCGATATCAAGCGCTTGTGGGAAGAGAACGACGACTTGAAGGCAAGGTAATGCGGCTGGGCAAGAGTTGCTTTATCAGCTCGTAGTGATGTCATTTATGTGACTGTGTCTGTGAGTTTATTATGTGATTGTCGGCATATGGCCGGATGATGTCATGCAACGCACATGCTTCCTTTCTCTTGGTCTTGGTCTTGCTCTCACTACTGTTCTCACTCTCTCAGCGGGTTGTTTATTTTTTGTATTTACACATGGTAGCAGGCGCTTCGAGAAGCATCTAAAAACGTTCCGCATTTATGTATAAGCTTTTTGTATTTTTCGTTTTTTGTTTTTGCCACATTTAATGCAAATGCCAAGTTTAATCGCCCGAGCCGGCACTCTATGTGCTAATGAGTAGGCAAAATAAGCACAGCTGCGTAGACAAAGTTTCTCGTCTTAGCGTTGGTCAGACGCATCGTAATTCAAGCCCTAGCCAAGGTTATACACTTAGACAACAAACAAATGGAGTAGGGGGAGAGGGAAAAAAGCCACAACCGAAAACCGAAAAGCAAACGAGCAACGCTTTTATGATGTCATTTAAACAAAAATATAGCGCGCGTTTTTCTTTCATTGCGTTTTGGGTATTTGGCCACATGTAATACCGGTTGGTTACCACCATACTTCCTACCTATGTACGTGTATGTATACAAACGACATCGGCGATGATGTCAACAAACGACGCCACATTCCATTTGTACAATGTTTGGATATTTGGGTCTGCGTGCGGTTTGCCGTTTGTTGGGCCTTCTGCGTGTGTTATCATCCAAGGCAATATTTATTTTTGGTATTTATTGAGTGACGCCTTTTGTTTCAGCCATTGCTTTAGCGTTCCTGCTCTACATGATGGCTTTAACGTAGATTCCGCATTATTATTTTCGAGTCACAAAGAACAGAGATTACAATCGAAGATATGTATGAGCTTATGGCGCCATATGCTGGCGATTTTCGCTGTTGGGCAGTTGGGTGGGCATTTGGTTCGAATAGGCTTTGTTGTGGCTTTTTAAGGCTGTACAGAATGTCACCTAAACCAGCTAGGTTTAATTTCCAGCTCATAGGATTTAATTGCATGTGTATCTAAATACTATAAGAAACTCGAAACGAGGAATTGTTTCTCTTTTAGTAACTTCACTGATAATTTTAAAACTTAAAATATAGTACCAACAGTCGATTTATAAAGGAATCTTACAACATATCTCTAAATAGACAGCAAATCAAGTCGCTTCCAAGTAGAACACAAAAATAAAAAATGTTTTAATAAATTAGGTCGTTTGCTTGACGCGTTTTGGGGCACACATTTAACACGCAGACATACATAGCGTGCAAGTAAATAAATAACCTTGGGCTCTTTGCTATTTTTGTACAACGCTGCTTGCTGATTAGCTAGAAAAATTGTTTATTTACTTTTTTGTAATGCAGCAAAGCGAACACGGAAAACATTGGGGGAGGGGGCTTAGCTGACTTAAAAGGCGACGTCGTAATATCATCATGTATGGCTACAAAACCGAGCACAATAGATTTCAATTTATATGCAACCGGTATGGAGTAATTAAATTTGTATCGTTATTACTTGTTGCTGAGCTGTAGGTATGTACGATCGAAAATTGAGCAAAAAACGTGTTACCCACGAGAGCCATCGCGATAAATCGGGCGACTGGCAACAGACGACACATGAATTTTAAGTAGCAAGCGAACTCATGAAATAAACTAATATTATTTTTGTTGGGAAAAATACGAAAGAATTTAAATTCTAAAATAAAAATTGTTTGAAACAGAAGACATTAATTATGCGCTCGGGCAAGGGCAAGCGGTCGCAAAGGAGGGGGCTAAGTAGCCGGGAATCATAAATAGCCGAACTATTTAATGCTAATGGCATTTGACAATTCCAAGGTATTTTTGGAGAGGGCAGAAGCATAAAGAAAAATCAAGCAGATGTGAGCAAACGAGTTCTCATGCAAATGACAAATAAATTATCAATAAAATAATAGTAAAAATATCTCTGAGAGCTTAATCACAAAAGAGAGTGTGAGCGACTCGCGATTTTGTGCGGTTGGCAAATTATTGACGTCATGAGAACCTGCTGATAAGCAAATTGTTATAGCGATTACTCATTTTTCTAATCATTTGCTCTCTCTTTCTGTTTTCTCAGACTAGATAAAAAGACGAAGGAGGCAACCGTAGCCGAGAATAATGCACGCCTCTATGAATCTCGATTCACCGAAATCAATGGCAAGTACAACCAAGCCTTGGCCGACCGCAAGAAGGCTGATGACCAGGCCAAGGAACTGGCAGCAGAAAATGAGCGCCTGCGCCGACAGCTGGATGATCTGCGGAAGCAGTTGGAGGCGGAGACATTGGCCCGCGTCGATCTGGAGAACCAGAACCAGAGTCTGCGCGAAGAACTGGCCTTCAAGGAGCAGATTCACGGACAGGAGTTGACGGAAACACGCTCGCGCCGACAAATTGAGATCAGCGAAATCGATGGACGGCTGGCCCGGCAGTACGAGGCGAAGTTGCAGCAATCACTGCAGGAGTTGCGCGATCAGTACGAAGCACAGATGCGTGCCAATCGTGAAGAGATCGAGCTTCTGTACGATAATGAGATACAGAATCTGAAGGCGGCAGCAGCGCGCGCTGCTCAGGGCTCAGTACATGCTACAGAGGAGGTTCGTATAATGCGTACCAAGATTGATGGACTCAATGCTAAGCTGCAGGACCTGGAGAGCACAAATGGAACGCTAAATGTAAGTACAGAGTGAATTAAACTATTTCAACCGGATACATAATTAATTGTTGATATTTTAAACTTCATGATAGAGTCGCATACGTGAATTGGAGAATCTCTTGGATACTGAGCGTCAACGTCACAATCAGTACATTGCGTCCTTGGAGGCCGAGTTGCAGCGCATGCGTGATGAAATGGCGCACCAATTGCAAGAGTATCAGGATCTGATGGATATCAAGGTATCACTGGATCTAGAACTCGCTGCATACGACAAATTGCTCTGTGGTGAAGAGCGTCGTCTAAATATAACTTCACCCGGACGCCCTGGCACTGACTCGGGCATCTCCAGCAATGGAACACACTTGACCGCCAGTGGTTCGCGATCTGGACGCGTAACGCCTAGCGGACGCCGTTCGGCCACGCCTGGAATTTCGGGCTCTGGAGCCGTCAAGCGACGCCGCACGGTGATCGACGAAAGCGAAGATCGCACCCTGTCTGAATACTCTGTAAATGCGGCCGCAAAAGGTGAACTTGAGATCATCGAGGCAGATACCGAAGGACGTTTCATTAAACTGCACAACAAAGGCACCGAGGAGATTAATTTGACGGGTTGGCAGCTTACACGCATTGCCGGCGACGAGGAACTAGCCTTCAAGTTCTCCCGTGGCTCCAAGGTTCTAGGCGGCGCTAGTGTGACCATCTGGTCCGTGGATGCGGGTGCAGCACATGACCCACCAAACAATTTGGTGATGAAGAAGAAGTGGCCCGTCGCCAATTCCATGCGTAGTGTGTTGGCTAATGCCGACAAAGAGGTGAGAGTCTTGTCGATTTACAACACGTGCGGCACCTGCGACATCTGCCGACATTGCCAGCACCTCGAGTTTGTGCTCGACCAGTACGAAACACGTTAACACAAGCCCTAAGAATGTTTCAACTATTCGTTTTTCCCCTCTTTCTTTCAGGATGTTGCCAGCTACGACCGTGTGCGTGCAAACGTTTCCAGCCACGTCTCCCGGCATAGGTCCAGCGGCACCCCCAGCACGGGTTTTACTCTCGGTTCCGGCGCGGGTTCCACCGGTGTGAGAAGTCTGTTCTCGTTGTTGTTCTAGACAGCTAACCGAACGGAAAGTACCGTACACATCCATACAGAGACTCACAGACTCGCACGAGGACGCGATACTCACTCAGACACAAACACATCATCAGACATCGGCTTGATGCATATCTAAGAACGCGTGAGGCGCTCAAAATGCTACTGCAAGAGTGCAATTTACAATACAAGTACAACAAGAACAACACTTATAACACACTGCTCTATGTTATATGCTTAAGAATTTCAACTTTTTTTGTAATTTATCATTTTATGGAAAATGCATTTGATAAATCATATCGTAAATAAAAGGCAAGAAAACGTGAAAACCAATAAACGCAGTTAATCGGCAGTCAGAGTGACCAAGACTCAGGTATGTACGAGTATATAACAAATTGGGAGCCGTTTACGCTTCAAAGATTGCCAAGGGGATAAGCAGGAATCAAAGCGGCTTAGAGTGCGCATCAAGATTATCAGTGTGAATATAAAACTTTTGCCAGCAAAGCATGGGACAGGCATAATGGACACTAAGCGGACGAAATTAGATAGACAACTAGCAGCACCAATGAAGGTACTAAACGAGGAGTGGCCTAATGAAAAAAATATTACAAACTGATTACAAGCTAAACTATATCATACAGATGAACGCAAATCCTGTTGCGGCTAATTCGGATGAAAAGGTGTTCATGACTCATTACTAGACAATAAAAATGTCTAGTTTGACTTTAATAAAATATATACATATTATATATATATATCGGATCGATAGTTTTACGGAGTAAGACTTTCATTTGAATATTGGGCTGCATTCTTCAAACTCTGCTGATTATTTGCGTATGGACATAATATACACTATAGCCGCGACGATCGCACAGTGTTTACAAAGACAATAGAGACTCAAACGCGAGCACGTGGATTTTAAAAATTACATTCAGCGGTCATATATCTTTATAATTGCTGCTATGTTGTTTTTTCTTTCTTGGCATTTGCTTCGATAAAGCTGCTATATTTAAATATTGCCATTTAGAATGTTAACATTTATTTACTTTAGAATGCTAGTATAATATTGCTCTGAATATAATGCGACCATTTTAAGCGATGCTGTATAGTATAAGTTGTGCACAAATACTTGTATTTGACGACTTCGTGAAAATCCGATTTTGTGAATTCTTGTGACGCCGTGAATTTGCGTGAAGGCAAAACTGGTGGCTCATCCCACTGTGCATATTTTAGCCCTATCATGGCTCCATCGCCACTTCCGGTTGCCGTGGATTTGTTGCATTGTAATGCGCAAGCAGTGCCATAGTAGCTGCTACTAAGACAACTTAAGTGAGCTTGAGTGAGCGCCGAGCTCAATGGGCGAGCTGAGAAGAATACTACAGAGTGGAGCAAAGTAGACAGGCAGACTGACGGGAAACTTCAAAGTAGTAACAGAAAGTTGTGCCTTGGCGCACGTTTGCATGTGCATAATAGGATTAGTCAAAGTAATAAGCTGTAGGTGAGTGTGTGTTTGTGTGTGTCCGGCTGTAGGTGCTGTTGGTGTGCCTGTTTATGTGTGTGGGCGGGCATAGGCGCTGCTTTTGTCGCTTTGAAATGCAAATCTGGGCGACATAAAAGCCAAAACGACGAGGTATGCACAAACGCGTGTACTCTAACCGTTTCTCTAGCCATAACCCTAGCCCACAAACACACACATACTCAAACTTTTTACTGCTGCCTACAAGTATGCAACATATTTTCGTGTGCTGCCCTGCGATGCACGAGGAAAAACTATGTAAACAAACTTAACCCTTGGTTGCCGGCTTTTATAGGCGATGGAGGAGAGGGTGAGGACCGAGAAGACTTGCCATAAACAAAATGCGCTGAGACAACACTTAAGTCGGGCATATGTAAAATTGTAGACGGATGGGAGGGGGGCAAGTGGTAACGGGTTGCCGCCTGGTTTTGGCTTATTGTGGTTTTTCGGGCTATTTTCGTGACTATTTGCAAGGAACTTTTTCATTTGGTGCAAGCGACCACAGAACATCCGGTTGGCGGCACTCTGCAACTTAAGTGCACACGCTTATCGGCCGAAACCACACATACGAGCACAAACACACAAACACTAACAGACTTTTCGGTTTAGGCCAAGATTTGGCATCGAGCGACAGCAGTTAGTTGGTAAGTGGACTTTGAGTGACCTTTTTTGTGGTTTTTGTGGGCGTGGCTGCTCGAAGAAGGCTGGGAATGGGTTCATTGTGGCAAGACGAAAGTTCAACACACAATAAAATTATGCAAATCTACGGATCAGCCGTATAAAATTGGTACACTCTTGCTCAACAATGGCAAGCGAGCACTGAACTCACACATTCACGCTATGCATATACGTGTATAAATCATTGTAGGTATGTTCAGATACATACATGTGTATATAAAAAGACTTGTTTAGTTTAAGTTTTTCTCGGCTTTGCTGGCATGCAAATTTTATTTCTAAGGAGTAATTAAGAGTAATTTTCAATTACATAGACTTCGAAGTATAAAATGAAGATATGGTAGACTTAGGATTCACCGGATAATTACACTCTGTACATGGAATGTACAAGGGGCAGAAGGAGGCGTGGCAGACTCAACAAAGTGTATATAGTCTTGATCAGCATGACAAGACGAGTCGATCTAGCCCTGTCTATCTGTCTGTCCGTCACTCTGTATGATCTGGATCTCAGAGATTATAAGAGCTAGAGACACCAAATTTTGCACATTTTGTTTTTTGTTGCAAATAAAATTTGTGCCATATACAAGTAAAGTCGACAACACGTTCATTATTATGAAGCACTATTTCGCCTTAAAATGGATCTGGGTTGGATTTGTTGAAGTTTTTTCATTGATCATATGCATAAGTTATTTTTTAAATGCATCGTGCATTATTTAATCTAAATTGTAATTTTTGGCCCCCCTTTGGTAAAAGCTGCCTACGCCCTTGCAGAAAGACCTTACATAAGTTTACCAAACTAAGTATATATACATAGAAACCATATCAAATAAATCGAAATCAGTTGTCCTTATTTTGCGATTCTCTAAATTGATATTTTCTTGGACTTTCGATCAAAAGGCATAAGATGCTTTTCTAATCTGAGCACTCCTGGAACAATTGCCCAATTTGATAATCTTACTGAAAGTATTTTAGTCTGTCATAATTTTAAATAATGAAAATACGGGCCAGTTTTTCTATCGCACCAATGGTAGAACCTCTAGGCAACTGTAAATTTTATACCCCTTACCGGAAGGGGAAAAAGGGTAGATTAGGTTTGTGGAAATATATATTTTTGGTTGAACGTCTGGATTTCGAATAATAATTAATAAAGAAGCTTATTGATAAATACGGTTGTACTTAATAAACGGAATGGCACAATTGTCTTTGATATTCGAAAATGCATAAAACTCATAAAAACCACCCAACTACATTAGAAGCGTCATTTCCTTACCATAGATTTACTAGACATACAAGAACATACGTAGTCAATTTTGTTAACTCTTTGCCAACTTAACTGTCATTAGCAGCGCTTTAATGAGCTGCCTCCATCATTTCAAACGACAAGAAACATACGCATATATCTATGTAACCCGAGGAAGAGCTAAGTGAACGCGTGAATGTGTGTGTTTGTGGCTTAGGCCAAAAGCGGATAAGCCCCAAATAACTGCTTAATTTGTTTTCCGTCTACCCGAGCCCAGATACAGAACATTCACTGGACTCGCCTGAGAGAAGGAAAGGCCAAGCGACCACCTTTTCCGTTGTTTGTACAGGAGGCAGCTGCAGAGCAGAATTGAGGAGACAAACAAAATAGCGAGCAACCGAGCGACCAACTGTTGTTAGTATTGTTGTTGTTAGCTTGTGGACTTTAATGGACCAACCGCAGGCAAGCAAGCCTAGTAACCCACGAACTTTTGGGAGTGGGTGGATCAACATCCACCGAAAAGTAGCAATTCAAAAAGTGGGCCAAAACAGGAAAACAAAATCGCAAAATAAAAGTTAAAAAAATAGAAACTCAATGGGAATTGAGGCACCAAAAATTATTTGAAATTTTTATTTTTGCTGCCCCAATAGTCAGCATGCCAGCAAGGGTTAAACGGTCCAAGCTTGCTTATGCCTAAATCAATTTGCTGCTTGAATGATTCTTAAGCGGAGCGAGGCGAATGAGTTGAGCGAGACTGGTGAGGGTGAACATTTTGGGAAGTGGGGTCATACGAATATCCATATAGGTGCAGTGGGACATACTCGTAGTTCCCACTCCCACATTTACATGCGACAATGTGTGCGTACGTGTGCGTTTGTCATGTTTTATCGTGCTCATTTTTGGGTTAAGCTATCAGACTAAAGGGTTATTAGGCATGACGTCCTCATGTCTTCGTCGTTGTCGCTACCCTGCCCATCCTCTTGTCCTTTCACGCCATTTATAAGAGAACAAGGAAGCGGATGTGAGTGTGTGACATAGACGTGATTTGTTTGTCAAAAGCACTTAGGGAGTAGCGTTCAGCATTGGGCGACGATGATGGCTTAGGGTCTGCCGATGGCGTTGGAGTTGGCGTTATGAATAAAAAGTGGGGTTGCACTATAAAGACGCATTGTTTCATGAAGTGGCGTTAAGTAGCCGCACGCCTACTGGGGGATTGTGAACTTTAATATGCGTTTTATTAATAAAATAAATTTCGGTGCCTACACACATAAATAAATTGAATTTATGTCGCAGCTTTACCGGCCAGCAACCTGACAGCCGCCGCGCATTTTAAAGCAATTTGGGCAGTCTGCCAAGCCACTCCTCGCGTCAGCTATTTTTTAGCACACAAGCATATATGGCCGAAATTTGCGTCCTTTTAGAGCAGCACCAGTTGACCCAAAAGGAACGCTGCATTTTAGGCATACACGTATGGAATGGGAACTGAACCGACGCGTCGGGCTGCTGCACATAACGTGACGCACGTGGCCCAACAACAAAAACAATGATGTGTAGGCATCGTATTGCGCTATGCGGGGGCGTATGTACACGTCTCTTCACATGTCGAAAAAGCCACAAATCATTTTTTAATCGGAATGCATAAATCAAATATGTGAGTGCGCTCAACAAATAACGTAAAAAAGTGTTGCGTGCTTTTCGGCGCACATAATAAATATTAAATGGACAATGAACCGAATGCCAATACATTCTATGAAAAAAGCCAATTAATGCGGCATTAAAATGCCAACTAAATGATATTAGAGCCCATTATAATAGAGTGTGAAATAGTTGGTCATAAATCAGGCTGACAAACATGCGTGGACATCATAGCGTGCGTGTCTGGACAGCCAATTACATCCGAGACACTATGGACTACATACGAGCCAACACGTACGAGGTCGAGTGGGACAAAAACACAGTACACACCGCGTATAGTAAACGTATATTAGTTTCCTATGCAGTTCGTGTAGATATTTCTTCTGACACTTGTATTTTTAAAGATGAATAAATGCCAGTTGTACTAGTAGCTCAAAAATGCAAAAGTTAAAAACAGAATTATAGTAGTTTGTTTCTACATATCTAGTTATGTATGAATTGTGATTTTCAAACGGATACGAATATTTTATATATATTTACCAGGTGATTTTACCGCCTCAAATGCGCCATTATAGTTTATATTGTGAAGCATCCGACCTTTGATAGCTCAATGTGTTCTTATTTTTAATACGTTTCAATTATAATGATAAAAGGCTATATAAAGATATTGCAATTTCATGCATATAGGTATAGGAAGTAAGGATCTCATGTAAGCCATGATCAGCATAACGAGTAAAATTGACAATTTCGTAAATCAGTTAACATGAATGCTTGGATTTCGTTCGCCTAAAATGACAAAAGTTTGGGTAAATTCCCACATTCCCACAATAACGGCAGTTCATTTGATTATTTGTAATCTACTTCCATTATACTTGTATGTATATATTTACCTCTATTTTAAAATCGTTAATTTTAAGATAGCCTTATAGCTACATTTGCACCAGTGCTACGGAGATAAAGAAAAGCATATTTTACATTTTAAGTGGGGCCAATTTAATGGGCCTTCACTGTACCAATAATGTCCTGTGTGGTGGACCACTTTGGTTCAATTAATTTTTCGCTCACATTCATGGAAAATATTTGCTTTTCATTTTAATTTTTTTGGCCGAACTATACATTTAATATATAGTAGAAAGCAGAATAAAAGCTTGACATACATGTATATATGTACATATTATACATGTTGCAAAATTAACAGCACACTATTATATAGTACTGTCGGGTTTGCTCGACTGTAATAGGATAGAATCTTGTTGTTTGTTTTCTTTATCGCAAATTAATTAGATGTTTATTTATAATTTAATCCTATGTTCACTTTCCTCTTTTTACTAAGGAATATTATTTTTTAATTTTTGTTGGTCGATACTTCTCCGTTAATAAAATATTCGAAGGAAATCTTGCTGTTGTTGTTTTTTTTTTTTTAGAATCAATTAATCGTATGAAGTCAATTACATCCTTGACCTCATCGAAAATGACAATAAAATTTAATCTTTTCAGCAAACGAAATATTTTTATGGAGTCAACATCGATTATTTTGCAGCTATACTGCACACATACACGCGTGGTCATAATATTGATGTACGTAACAGCAGAAGGAAGCATTTCCGATCCCATAAAGTATATATTTTTTGAATCAGCATGACGATATAAATCGATCGAGACATACTGAGCGGACATTAACCATAAGCATACGCAACTAGTCCCTAGGCAATCATGATTTTCCCTTCCATCTCCCTCTCCCGAGAATTTCATCAACCCTGTCCATATTTTAAAAGCTACAAAAATCTATACACACGTAAATTTCATCCAAATCGGTCAACTCTAGGAAAAGTTATTAGTGAAAAATTTCACTCCAGTACTACGTCCACAAACTGCATCATCAAGTTCGCTCTTCTTCTTTTTGTTGCTGCTATGAGCGCATATAACTTAGTGTCTGGGTACAGGGTATTTCACTATCGGAGCTGTTCGACTGCAGCGTTCTCTCTTGTTTAAAATTTAATTAGAAAAATAGGTATTGGGGTTTTAGAGTTGGGTCTGCTCGGCTCGAGCATTCCATTGTTGTTTATATTGATGGCAGACACACACACTTTTGCGTCAATATAGTTTGTATTGCTACTTTTTTTATACAATGCTGCTAGTCTCGTCGACGACACCACCATGTCGGCAACTGTTAATGTGGATGTCAGCGCAAAAGATTCGAGCTTGACGCACGACATTCGACCCTCGACTCCGCAATGATTACACAAAATTAAGTGCTTGCTTCGTGGGTTTGCGTTGTAATATGTATACGAGTATCTGTCTGTAGGTGTGTGAGTGTGTCTGTGAGTGTGTCAATGTGGGTGCTGAAAAGTAGTCTCCAGTGAGGCGACTTGCTTGCGTTTTGGCAACACATCAGCGTCTCTCGTGGTTGTTGTAAGTGTGTAGCGATCTTGTTTTTGCATCTGCTGGCACAAGCAATTTTGAACGTGTAGTTATTTACTGTGTGTGTGTGTGTATGTGTTTCCTCACTATTTCCTATATTTCCAGATTTTAAACGTATTTAAGTTGTATGTAAAAAAATAGTATGTTGGAAAAACTGAAATTCTTAAGCAGTTTATTAATTAAAAAATTATTATTCACGAATGAAATATTCGTATTAATAGTTATTCGATTGCTGATTTAAAAAAAATATATGCTTCAAAACATGCTGAAATAGTTGCCTCTACTCCCATTTTTTTCAAAGTTTTATTAATCCAAAGGGTAAAGTCTTGTGTATCTGTCATAATAATAGCACTTGGATATATAACGAGATACAAGACATGTAAAGAAACATAGTTTTGCCATAATTCATGCCATGACTTGACCTCTTAGGTAACGAGAAAATCAAAAGGTTAACAATACATATTGGCGCTTGCTAATATTGATCCATTTTCTGTTCCCATTTAATTCGCTTGGACGAAACGCTCCCGAAATGCGTCGTGGTTGAGGAATTTATTAATTTCGCTCTTCACTTGCTTTCGCGGCAATTCGAAGTTGCACACTTACCAAGTAGCTGGCAGGTTATTTTAAAGCAATGTATGCAAGCAACATTTGAAACTTACCTCGAACGTTGTGAAGACGATTTTCTCGATAGAGCCAAAATAACGTTCCCAAAGCACTTGGGTTTGCTGGCGTAAGGCGAAAATGCGTTCCGCGCTTATTGAGCGCACGATATCAGGCACCTGCAATGCAAAGAGGAGAGGGCATATAGTTGGATTTCAAGTGCGTTTAACATTGCGTATACGCAATCACAGCTAAAGACTACTTGCACAAAGTAAACTGCCAGACAGACAGCACCTGGGACTAATGTATTAATTACGACGCGGAGTAAATGTGACGGCAGAAGGGTAGGAGAAAGTGTAAGGAACTGCTGAGCCACCTGCAGCACTGCCTCGGTTAGTAAAAGGGCAAGCCACGTGCATCCATCATAATTATGCATTGTAATCTTTCAATAAACTACGCACCGCAAGTGCTGCAGAGTTTAAAGAGTTTGCTTATTACATTACAAACAGGGGCAGGCGCACAAGTAGAGACGGACAGAGATAAGGAGTGAGAGAGAGAGAGAGAGAGAGAAACAGAAGGAGAATGTACGACACTGTGGACACAGTGGCGCCGTTTCCTGTTCAAGTTAACTTAATTAATTGCATTTCCTGCCAATAAACTGCAAAAACAAACATGCCCCGGCACGATGCTGGCCTCCACAACAATTGTCAAACAATGCGCCAAGACTTTGTCGCGAATGAAGTTGTAGCGACAACGAAGCGAAACAGAAGAAGGACATCGAGGACGTTGGGCAAACAAATGGTGCACGGCAAGTGAAGCATGCTACAAAAAAATTGCCCTGTAAACAAAGTTGCGCAGCACGGACAGATTGACAAGCAGACGGACGAACAGACAGGCAGCTGAACAGGCGGGCAGGAGATGGCTAAGACAAAAGTGCTCTATGTTTCAGTTGTGTTGTAGTTGCATTTGTATCGTGTTCCAAACGATCATTAGCTGGGCAAGCACGGCGTCTACATGTCATGCAAGTTTTACGTCCGTTCGGGCAACATCTGTGCGTGCAACAAAAATCTGTGCTACATTTTTCATACATTTCACGGATTGTGCACATGGTGGCTGTTTCAAGTCGTTCTCCAAAAATATGCAACCATCGTTTCCATTTATTGTAAATCGTCAATAAATGACGCGCACATGTTAGGGCTGACGGGGCAACAAACAAATGTAGGTTACTGTTTGTGCTACAGAATCTACAGAAATAACAAAATTGTAGTGGAATTTGTTGATTGTGCAGCAGTGTGGCAGTTTAACAGTTGATGCGGCCCAACTCTCATCTCTCAATCGCCGAAAAGTCGCGCGATTGTCATGCTGTTCGATATTTTAAAACAGTCCTCCTTTTTATATTTTATGCCAAAAGTTATTTGCACTATTTATAGTGCATGCGTTTGTGTATGACAATGTGTTTGTTATTTTGTGGGTGCTTACCTGCAGCAAGAGGCGCTCATCGGCCCAAATGGCCGCCTGTTTCCAATCGATTTTTGTTTCGAAAGGCAGTACCCATGCATTGGATAATAGCACGGGTATACAGCCGGCCTGCAATGCTTCGAGAAATCTGTGAATAAAAATAACCCGAAGTAGGTGAATTGCAATGCACACAAAAACTATGCAACTGGGAAACGAATAGACTTGCTTTTTATGTTGGTTGCTTACCTGAAGGAGCCCAAGCGACGACCACGCGGCACCAAACAAAACGTGGAATTTTGCAGCAATGTTTCGTAGTCGTATCTGTGGCAGAGAGGGGATAGAGAAGGAAATTAGTGTGAGCAGGCACTGGACAGCAATTAAATGACAATGGACTACATAGTATAGAGGTGGCCAAATGTGCCTGAAGATTCATTTTTTAAAAGGCTTTCAGTCCCGCTCTCATACTTTGTTCCGTACTGCCTATTGTTTAAACTAGTTTTTGTGTGATTTAAGCTGGCTTAGAATAATTAAAACCCGTTGGTAGAGTAGGTTTTGTTATAAAACACTTACAAATTGTTTCCCAAAGTAAACAGAAGGTTTGCAATAGGACATTTCGTGGCGTCATCTGTATGTGACAGGTTGGTTGACAAGATACATTCCTACCCGACTTCCAACAAAAAATTCATCACATTTACTCTGCTGGAAGCGGAAGGGTTGCGTATAAAGTTGGCGACGAACAAAGAGAAACAAGGAAGGAATTCTAGACTCGAGCAGCCTCAACTCTTCAATACCCTGTACCGACCCCACAAAAAAAAATTAAAATAAATTTAAAAAAAAAATTGAATTAATTTAATTAATTAACTCAATTCTATATAAAATATTCAACACATGAAATATTACGTTTACATCAGAATCATGTCTATGCGTGTTTTTACTCGTGTGCAGTACAGTAATAAGTTAAGGCAGCAACAACAACAGCTGAGAGCAGACCTTGGGCAGAGATTCGATTTATGGCATACGGACACATACTAACTGGATGTATATATTAAATTGGAGTACGAAATACCAAGAACTATGGGAGTTATGGAATCAAAAAAGCTCAAGCTCATACTTTTTCGGACTTAGGAGAATCTGGATACCAAATTTGGTTATTCTAGCGCTTATTCTTCTGAGATCCTTGCGTTCATACAGACAGACGGACATGGCTATATCAACTGGTCTTGTCACCCTGATCAAAATATATATACTTCGTGGGGTCTGCCACGCCTCCTTTTGTGGGTTACATACGTTCGTTGACACATTTACCCTTTGGGTACAGGCTATACAAAATTGATCTTTATTATTAACCTTTACCTTCACCGAAAAATACATTGGCCGATGAAAGGGAAGCGTTATTTGGACGTAGTAGCTATCAACAAGGCTTATACCAGCATCCTGAAGGGCATTCCGGCCAACGAGCTTAAGCACTTGTTCGACATGCTTTTCGCAATTCGCAATCCAGCGAAATCATTCTAAGGACTAATTTATTTTGCCAAACTATTTTTATAGCCTGTACCCAAAGGGTGAAAGGCTATACTAGTTTTGTGCGCATGTATGTAACACACAGAAGGAGGCGTGGCAGACCCCACAAAGTATATATATTCTTGATCAGGATGAGAAGCCGAGTCGATATAGCCTTGTCCGTCCGTCCGTCTGTCCGTCTGTCCGTCTGTCTGTCCGTCTGTCCGTATGAACGCAAGGATCTCAGAAAGTATAAGAGCTAGAATAACCAAACTTGGTTTCCATATTCTCCTAAGACCGAGAAAGTACGAGTTTGAGTTTTTTTTCGATGCACCCCCCCACTCCCCCGCAATTCGTGTTTTTTCTTATAACTTCCGTAATTCTCGGAATTTTAAAATCAATCTTGGTAGGTACATCCAGTTAGTACTAATGTGTCCGTGTGACAAATTTCATCATGATAGGTCAATTCTGAAGAAAGTTATAGCCATAAGTAAAATCGCTGCTCATGCGCTGCCTCTGTCGGCAGCGCTGCCCGCAGCTGTTGTTGTTGTTGCTGCTTTGGTTCAACTTTGTGCTGCATACATACACGCATATAAACACGCATAGGTACGTGATGTAAATGTATGCTGTTAAAACTAAACATAAACATATATTCTAATTTAATTAAATTAATTAATTCATTAATTTTTTTTAATAATTTAATTTTTTAAAAAAAATTTTTTTTTTTTAATTTTTCTTTTTTGTGGAGAGTACAGGCTATTTTACTGTCGGGCTTGCTCGACTGTAGCGTTCTATCTTGTTTGTTTTTCTTAATTCTAAAACGTCCTATTTACTTTGAATTTTACAAAAATCCAAATAATCTATATAACTGAAGTAGAGTCAAGTTGATTTATGATTGCAAAACGCCAGCTTTTGGGCCACTTTATTGGTTGCAGATATATTATTATTGCACATGTCGAGGTAGTTTTAGCTGGTGGAAGCAGTTGAAGCAGTTAATTATCAATCGGAATTTCTGAAATCACTTGATCTGCCAGTGATGGCATCATCGCACATGCTAAAATGTTAAAATTGAAGATAAATAGCTGTGCCAATTAAAATGTTGGGGAATATTAAGTCTGTACGGCACGCGACACGCAGTTAAGAAATTGATGAAGAACTTAGTAGAAGCATTCCTCATTCATCGAGTTCACATGATCCCAATTCGAATGGTGTTCGTAATTACAATCACAATCATTGAAGGTCAATCTCTCAATCTCTCGTGTGGTTTAGATTTAGATTGCTTCTCACTTGGATATATGTATGTTGCGTGTTCCCGTGTTTGCAAACCCGATAGCCTTTATATGTACGCAAACAATGGAAAAACAAAAAATTGTGTATACCCACAAGTATTGCAAAATTAAACGTTTATGAAACACATGCTTCGTTTTGTTCCTCGCTTCTCACCCTTGTAACCACAATGTGCCACAGCGAAACGTGATAGTTCAGCTAATAATAAACCAATATATATTGGAAGCAAAATTACTTGGCCAGCAAAGACGGGCAAGATGTATATCGATAAGTTAGATTTAGGCATTATTTCAAATGGGCAATTCTCAGATATTCAAGTGCTGAATAAAATTCGTTTTTGTGCGTGGTTAAAATAATAACTCTTAACACAAAAAGTTAGTGTAAAGGAAACACGAATAATATATACAATTCATTCTCGTTGCCATATTTTTGTTGAGACAGAACTAGTTTTTGCGTTTTAGAACACGCATATCACTCAGTGAGCCTGGTTGCCTATGTTTTGAACAGTGCAATCGGAGCTGTGGGCACCTCATAATGCCCATACGCCATGTTGGCCAAACATTTGAACAGGTATTTCTGTAGGGTGGTGCGCCATATCTGTGTTCGTTTACAAGTTAAGTTACGCGTAAAATTACATGCAGTTGGGCATGTACCACGCTCACAATTACATACTCTCCCTCACTAATACACGCACATATGGTAAGCTTCCCCACTAGGTCAGTCGATGGTTACCTGGATACAATCATACATACATATATACGTAAGGGTCAACCACTGAACACTGTGTACGATTCGAGCGAATTCAGCATAAAATTTATTAGAAAGCTGCATGCACAGCGCTTTCCAGCTCCTCCCATCCTCGACGCATTGACAGCGAACGCAACACGTTTGTAAACAGTCGCGGGCAACATGGCGAATGAATAATCTTAAATAAATAACATAAATTGCATTTTGCCTTGTTTTTGACGTTTTAAACACGAGTGCTGAAAAATTGCAATGCCAAACGCATAGGCAGCCCAAACACCCCGAAGTCATTTGTAAGCAGCTCTCGAGTGCGCGCAGCAGCTTCGACTGCTGTCTTGAAAATATATTTCTGCTTATTCTGCACAGTGGCCTGGCGGTGGGTGCGGTGCTGGGCGGCTTGGCCGGGATTAGGGTCATTTCAGTAAATTGCTTGCATTTTGCTTGAAAATATTTAAGACCTGCCACCAATCGGCTCTTTGGCCCTTGAGCGCCGCCTTGGCATTCATCACGTAAAATGGAGCGCGCATAGTGCCAAGACAGCCCTGGCATGCCTTTGCGCCCCTGTGCGTGTTTGTGTGTATGTGTATGTGTGTAGAGGTGGGTGTGGTAGTTGTGCCTTACTAATTAGTCAGTGATATGCGGCGTCTTGAATGACCGCGCAGAGCTGCTTAGGTCAGCGGCCTCTTCTACAATAAAACACGCATGCATGTGCAACTTTTCCAACTGCCTGCAAGTTGGCTATCGAAAACACATACGAGTACCACATACTTGTACACACATACGTGTACATACATAGGTACATACTATACTTGTACATCATACTGTATTTCAGACAGTTCGTGTGCTTGTGTGCGCTAGTTAGCTACTTGTTTAAGCAATTAGGCGCCGCTACAGCATGTTGTTTAGTTGGCCGCTTAGTTGCTTGCCTGCTCAACTTTAATTAAATGATTTTTAGCGTCAGCAAGAAGAAATATGTTCAGCTTGTCCGGCAACATACTCGTACATGGAAACTTTTGCTATTTACACGCATTTGTTGTCAAAAAGTTTACTATCGTTTAGCTAGCCGCCCCAGAAGAGAGTACGGGTGGCACTTAATTAGGCGAGGCTATGTTATAAAAGGCCCTAGGCTGTTAGTTGACTATTCCAATAGACATTTAGTCAGCCGACAAAATCACATGATGCGGTTTATGCTTGGCAACAAACAGCTGATGCACCTAAGGGTATGGTTTTATTAAAACTTGTAAGTGACCTTCGTTTATTCACAAATGTTTATAGTACAAATATTAAATTAAATAACCTAAGACTGTATTTCACCAGTAGCCCCAGTTAAAAGGTAACCTGATTGACACAAGGGATTTTTTTGTTATTGCTTGTAGGCGGCAAGTACTAAATACAACAAGTGGAAAAGCTAAATAGGGGTGCTTGACATTTTCATAATTTGTATCTATGTGGAGGCCACGCCTCCTTCTGCCTCTAACATTTTTTACTTCCAGCAAAAATAATATACTCTTTGTGGGGGTGGCTGCAGAAAAATAAATAAGTAAATCATATAAGGAATCTTGGAATTAAACTGTGTTTCTAACTCTTATAGTCTCCGAGATATAGGTGATTATACCAACGGCTTTTGCGGAAAATCCTCTATAGGGGGAAGATTGGGATAAGGTACCAGTGTACAAAATTTGGTGTCTCTATATCTATAGCCTCTGAGATCCAGGTGTTTATATGGACAGACGGGCAGCCAAACAGACAGGGCTAGAACGACACGTCCTGTCATGCTGATCGAAAATTTA